CTGGCTTTCTATCCAGTATACCACACTTACTCTTTAATCTCATGTATTACTTTGCATGTAATTTTTGTTTCCTTATCTGTATGTGTGTTTTATCTCCTCTTTCCTAGAAAATAAGTTCTTTGAGGGCAGCAACTGTTTGTTTTTCTCTTCAATGCTAACACAGGCCTCCCTGTAATAAATATTTATTGAATTGAAGGTTGGAGCGGTGTATTTTTATACATGTGGACACATTTAAACATGCGTATTGCACTAGAAGCTCATATGAGGACAATCTACAACATGCGAAATAAAAACAAAACCGATCTCCATTTCTAGAAGTTTATTTTTGTCAGTGTACAACTACTATTTAAAGGAGTTTTAAAGAAGAGAACTGTAGCTAGAGCAGGGCCTTGGTTGCTTAGTGAGCTGATAAGTCCCTGGGGCCTTGCACACCTGGACTTCTCGGACAACCCTTTCCTTAGAGAAGGAAGCTCACTGATTATTGTCTTAAACTCTTTTTTAATGGAAGAGAAACTAGGCCAAGGAAGGTCAAGTGCCTCATCCCCACTTTCACAGCATGTCACAGACAGCCTTTTCCCTAAATCACACTTCCAGCCGTGGTCTGCTCCTGGCCTGCCTCAGCATTATTATTATTATTGTAATAAGCAGGCAGATTGGAGGGGTTTTTAAACCAAAACACAGCTGGTGAGTCTAATTTTAGACGGGTCGAGATGAGTGTCCCTCTTTAACAGGCTTGGTTTCTCAAACTCTTTCCACTCATCAAGTTGCTTTTTAGCCAGATGTCTCCATGCCTGGTGAGCGTGTTTCTTTCGCATCAGCACTTTTACTGGCATGGGCTTTTCATGCCAGCATTCTAACTTAGCACACTCCTCTCAGTGACTTTCTCTTTGCTGGGAAGAAGCAAAAAGCTGTTTGTGTGTAGATGGCCTATGAGATCCAGTAATAACTTGCATGGTTTATGTCAAATTGATGAGAGGTTTCTGAGGAGCATGTTAGTGAGGGATAAAGCTTTCTCCAGTTCCAGGTTTGAATCTAGAAGGTGGAGCCATCAGCTTTCCATTCTGCTGCTCTTCTGGGATGTTTACCATTATCAGAGGCATAGTAGAAATCATGCTAATCAATTAATTATTTTAAAGTGTAGCTGTACTTTTCTTTAATATGCTCTAAATTTTTAAATCCATTTTTGTAGTAACAGAGCCCAAACAGAATCTTTAACCTTCTTTGAAACTGACCAATTCAGTTCTCTTCTCCCAGCTCCAGGAATGACTATATTAAACAGCTCTCCAGCAGAACTGAGACTCATTTAGTAATGATGACAGTTCACTAAGATAATGCTTATAGCATTAAGGTCCAGTACTGAAAAAGGAACTTAGTGGTGAAATTCTTTGTGGTATAATAGGTAAGAGTGCTGGCTAAACTTGGATTTAGGGAAGATCCAGGTTCAAATCCCAAATCTTACACTTAGCAGCCACATGACCATGAGCAAGTCACTTAATTTTTCTCAGCCTCAGTTTCCCTGTCAGTTATTCGTCACATTACATAATCTTGGAGAAGCCACAACTTTTGTGGGCTTCAGTTTTGTCATCTGGAAAATGAATCTATTTTGCCTCTGAGCTCCCTTCCAGCTCTATCTGTGATCCTATATCCTTTTACCTCAGTATTGGTGCTAAAAACTTTGTTCCATAGTAAATAAATTTATCATCTGGAAAATTGGCATTGAGGAGTAGGGAACAGTTTTAGCAGTGAAACACTTAACTTTATCCCCTTTATTTCACTTACTCAAATTTGGCTAAAGTGTTTATTTTTTTTTTTCAGATGGTTTCCTTTTGTTTATATTATACTAATTGGTTTTATATAAAACAAAGGAGTTTAGTACTTCTCTTCAAAATCTGGAAGAGAAAATGCAAAGATTTTTTGCCTAAAACACTGTAAAATCACAGCTGCGGTATTGGCCCTAAGACATTAGAATCCAAGCCTCAAGGTTTTCAAAGGAATGGACACGGCTTTTCATAGAGATTAGAGATCTTTGTCATCTCTGCTGACTCATCCTCTCATTTCCTCAAAAAGAATGTGCTGCAAAAGGTTAGCAAGAGTTCATTTTTAGCTAATTATTTTTTTTCTCTAAAAACCAAAAACAATAGCAAACAAAAGGAATTAGCAACAAAACATTTTTGTGTTGTTCGTGACCCAGTGCAAGCCTCTTACAAATTGAGATCTTCCTAATCCATTATGAAAAATACCCATTGTCAGGGTTTTGCTCGAAACTTCAGTAATGCATAGGAAATGGCCTGTACGTATCAGTCCATCCTTCAGAAATCTCAAATATTCCTGAATTTATGGCTGCAATTTCATTTTTTTTGGGGGGGGGGGTTGATATGGAAACATTCCTCAGATGCCTTACTAGGCTTGCTATATTCTGTAACTTTGCAAAAATCATGCATACTTTCCTCCTCCACAAAATGCTGTGTTTTTAAAAGCCAGAAAAAACTGATTGTTAATTTTGAACCTATCATTTAACCCAGTGGAATTATCTGTAATGTAATTAGGTAGGAAGATGAAGCTTGAAAGGCCCCAACTCAAATAGTTAATCAGAACAGGCAGTTTCAATGCAAGTTTTTGTATGTCTGGCCTATACTTTGGAATAGATCATCATTTTTCTCAGTTTTTTTTTTCATTTTGGAATTTTTTTTTAAATGGCTAACTCTGGAAGGGACTTTTTAAGAGTTTTTTCAGTTCAAAAATTCAGTAAACATTTATGAGTGCATGGCGCAGTGGATAAAGCACCGGCCCTAACGTCAGGAGGACCTGAGTTCAAATCCAGCGTCAGACCAAACACTTGACACTAGCTGTGTGACCCTGGGCAAGTCACTTAACCCCAATTGCCTTAAAAAAAAATTTATAAGTACTTACTATGTGCCAGGCACTGAGCTAATCACTGGGGATACAAAAAGAAACAAAAGACAATCCTTGCCCTCAAGTTGCTTAGAATCTAATTTGGAGATTATTTATCACTTGATGGGGTTTCAAGGTCATAGAGTATAGGATCATATTTTAAAGCTTAGAGTTTACTTTAGAGGCCATCTAAGGCCAGCCCTCTAATTTTGCAAATGAAAAACTGAGGCCTAGTGAAATTAAATGACTTTCCTAAGGTCACATAGTGGTAAGGAGAGGAGCTGTGATGGTGGTGCATGGAAAAGAGCTCTATATTTAAAGTGAGAAGAGGTGAGCTTGAATCTCTGTTCTATCAGTTTGTAACTGTGTGACTTTAAGCATGTCATTCCTCTCCCCTTAGCTGGCATCAGTTTCCTTATCTGATGAGGGGGTTTCACTAAATGATTTCTAAGGTCTTATCCTATGCTAAATCCTATGACTTTGGGATCCCAGGAATAAGCTGAATCAGTATTTCTTCAGAGACACAGGAACTTGAAGGACTCATAGAATTATATATTTTATATTTTATATAGTTATAAATTTTAATTTCCTTCCTATCAATCTGTTTAACTTTTTTTTTTTAAAACGTAGATTTAATTTGGATCTTTTGCCATCTGGACCAAATATATTGTTCAAGTCTTCCTCTCCTACCATTTCCTTCCCTACATTCAATATTTCCCACCCATACCTTTTCAGTCATGCCACTTAAGTGACCTAGAATACCCAGCTTTCATTCCAGTCTGTCCAAGTCCTGGCCAGTCTGAAGTGACCTAGCCTTCCTGGAAAGACCTGAAATCATTTTTGTCTTCAATTCAATCAGGGGTGGATCATATAGTACTCTCCTGATATCTTATCTGTTGCTGTCTCTAACTACTGTTTGCATCTCCCATAGTTATTCATCTTTTTGTTTCCTGTATGTTTTATCTCTTCACCTAGTTTGTAAGACTCTGTAGGGCAAAGGCTACCTTATTCTTTGTTTTATTTTGTCTTGGTATCTAAACACCTCTGTTCTTGTTAATTCTTTTGATGCAATTTGTAGGAAAACTGAGGTTCAAACTATTATTTGGGCCTTTTTGACATAATATTTTTTTTCATTTGTTGATCATCTGTAGTAAGAAAAAAAAAGAAGACAGTGACTTCAGCTTGGAAAGTGCTAGAAAGGAAGTCAGAGTTCAGTAGGTCTGAGTATCCAACTTTTTCAGTACTGGTCCATGTGATGTATATCTTGTGTATCATATATATATCTTAGATGGCTGAACTTAATTTACCTTCCATTATAGTTGTTAAATGATCTAAATCTTCCAGCCTTGACCAACATGTCAATTTTACAATGGTGATAGTTAGTTGATTCATGTATGCTGGTTAGAGAAAAAATAACTTTTGCCCAAAATTTCAGGTTATACCCTGGGGTCAGGCAGATCTCAAGTTAGCCCTCACGCAGGACTAATTTTTGGTATCCGGGTCCTAGTTTAAGCCTGTTTTTTAAAAAATGAGGAAACTGGCACCCTCACCCCCTCCTTCTCACCCCACCCAGGCTGTGACTTGACCAAAGTTGGCCATGTATTGTCAGACCTGCTCAACTCTTTATAGCCTAGTGTTCTTTCCCTGGATCCACAGTGTTTATAAGCAGCTTACTGTACAGTGTTCATCGTTCACTGTGATATATCTATTCTTTTATTTGGAGCTGGTTATTAAGTCAGGGTTTTAGACCCAGCCTCCTCATGTATTGGTTATCTACAGTACATTTCCCACTCCTGCCATCGGTTATATTATATATATACCAGCTGACTCTAGAAATATGCCATTGGTCACAAGGGGAGACAAGATGAGGGAATGTGGCAAGGTCAGCATACATCATTGCTATTACTGGACGTGACTCAGAAATACATTTCCTGTTGGACTTCGCTTTTGTATAAGAGAGATAGCACTACTTTGCAGTTTGTAGACTTTGCTACAGTTTACTGTCTTATTACATTTGTCATTTTCCATTAAAATGGTTGGTGTTTAGGAGTCATAGAAATAGAAGTATTTCCGTGAGTAATCCTATCTTCCAATGTTCTCTTCCTTAGGATGCCTCCCTGATGGACATGAACTCTTTCAGTCCTTTGATGCCTACATCCCCTTTATCCATGATAAACCAGTACAAGTTTGAAGATGAGCCAGACTCGAAGGACCTTTTCATTACAGTTGATAATCCCGAAAGCCACATTACTACAATTGAAACTTTCATCACCTACAGAGTTACAACTAAGGTAACCCTTTTATGAGCTCTCTTTTTCTTCCATCAAAAGTGTTTTCTTTGAAAATTTAGCAGTACTTCCACTTGATTTTACACTTGGCATTTTGGAATCTTGGCAGGATTTAGCGCTGAATTGCTCATCACTGTCTTGAGCATTTTGTACCACTCAGATTTTCTCTTCTGTCCGCCAGCTGCTTCCTAAGAGTTTGGTTAAATTCAGATATGCTGTTGAAGCTACAATGCACAATGATCCGTTTCAAAGCAGTTGTGCCCAGTCTATAATGACAAGTATATAATTGTTGTGTTTTTTCTTTCAGTTTACAACATTATAAAAACATCCTTCATGGAGAAAATGGCTTTAGGGTTCCAGGACAAAATATTGCACAACTTTGTATTTATCAAACATTTATATTTATATTTAGCATTTTATATATATGAATATATATATAATTTATATATATATTTAGCATTATATATAAATGTATATATTAATAATTATATTTATGTTTAGCATTTATCAAGTTTATATACTAACATATTCCATACACTTTTGAAGATTTAACTGGTCCTCAAAAAGTAAAGGTAGTTGGTAATATTCCCATTTTATAGACATAGAAATTGAGTTGTATGGAAAGTTTACCAGAATTGCCAAGTTAAGAGATGGGAGCAGAGTTTATTTTTGACTCCCTAGGGCAAAGCTTTTTCAAGAAAATAAAGTAACAAAAGTTCACAGCACACACACACACACACACACACACACACACACATGCACACACGCACGTATACATATACACACACATATATATATACACACACACACAAATATATACATACACATATACACACATACAGATGTAGTTGTTTCCCTGACCCTTTCCTCTCCTGCTGCTGCCTTCGCATTAAAACTACCCTCACCCGTTACAATGCATTTGCTTTTTATCCCCATAGTTGTTTGTATATTGTCTCCCTCATTAGAAGGTGAGCTCCTTGGGGGAAGGGTCTATATATATATATATTTTACCTTGTTTATATCTGCAGCATATAGCACCATGCCTGGCACATATTAAGAAATTAATCAATGCTTTTTGATTGTTGATTTATTTCAGTGTCTTTAAATCTGTCAAATTATCTTCTTGTGCTGCTGTTATATACTGTGTCCCTGTTTTGTTTTTTTTTCCCCCCTCTTACTTTGACTTTATCCCAACAAAAACCACAGATCTCCTAAACAAGATTAAGTTTGGAGATATTTTTCATCATCTTAGCTCCAGGGAGAGGAAATTTTTAATCATAATAGCTATCAAAGACATTTTACCAAGTTGTAGAGGTGCTAAAGTCTATGTCGTTGGTTGACCTTTAAAGTGGGCACCTAGATGGCACAGTAGGTAGAGTGCCAGCCCAGGAGTCAGGAAGACCTAAGTTCAACTCTGGCCTTAGACACTTACTTGTATGTATGACCCTGGGCAAGGCACTTAAGTCTGTTTGCTTCAGTTTTCTCATCAGTAAATTGAGCTGGAAAAGGAGATTACAGACCCAGTATCTGCCACGAAAACACCACGTGGAGTCGTGAAGATTCAGACATGACTGAACAACAAAAATATTGAAACATAATTATATGTATTACGTTATACTTACTATAACCTTATATATGTATATGTACACACAAACATGTATGCATCTCTGAGTTTTAAAAAATGATCTAGATCTATGACTTCGTTATTGTGAGATGTTTGCTGTTGGGAAACTCCTGCTACCATTGAAAATTGGCATCCTTTCTATAACTTGTAGTCTTAGAGAATTGCCTGTGACACTGACAGGTAAAATGACTTGCCCATTTTCAATCAGCTAATTCACAAGCATTTATTAAATAACAACTGTGTATCAGATATTGTGGAATAGTGGCTAGAGAATTGACTTTGAAACAAGGATGTCCTAGGTTCAGTTCCTGTCTTTGACATATACTGTCTATGAGACCTTGTGAAAGTCACTTTATCTGCTTAGTGACCTCAGCAGAGAAAGTGCTGATCTATACACAAAAATGTGTCAAAATGTGGGAAGTCCCAATGCAGATGTGACTCAAACCAGATTAAAATGTAACTGGGAAATAGTTAACAAAATAAATAAAAAATACAACAAAAAATAGTGTATGTGGCCCACAGAGATCCTTATGTATGGTCTAGTCATTGAATATGACACCATTGCTCTATACCAATGAAATCACAAGTCTAGTAAAAAAATATGTCAAGAGCTACAAAGGTGAAGCAACCTCAAACCTGCAGAAAGATACATTTTATATTAGTAGAGACAATTCTTAAAAACTATAGCAAGTATATACTAAATATATAAAAGATATTTGTGGTGAGGGGAGGGCAGTAGCAGCTTGGGAGATCAGAAAATCTCTTATTTAAAAGATGGAGCTTGAGCTTAACTTCGAAGGAAATGAAGACTTCTAAGAGATGGTCAGGAAGAGAGTACAGTTTATGCCACTTGTTTCATAGCTAACAAATACCAGAGGCGGGGCATGAGCTTGAAGTCTTCCTGATTTCAAGGCCACACTATCAGATCGATCTCTCTCTCTCTCTGTCTCTCTCTGTCTCTCTCTCTCTTTCTCTCTCTGTCTCTCTCCTCCTTTTCTCTTTCTCTCCTCTCTTTTTTTCTCTCTCCTTCTACACACACACACACACACACACACACACACACACACACACACACACACACACACACACACACACACACACACACACATATATGCTGGTCCCTGCCTCAGTTCCCTTAGAGAATGAAGTGCTTTTCAGAATACTGAGTAAGTACACATATAGGGGCATAAAGAATTAATACATGTATTGGTGCCCCAGTGGCCTGGGGAAAGGGCCCCTTTTTGCCCTTAAGAGATTCTATCACAGATCCTGTGAACTGAATTCAATCTTGGGGGAGTCTGACCTGAAAGAGGGGAGTCAAGCTTTTCTTGTGCTCTGTATTACAGCTCATTATAACTCAAGTCTCTTAAAGCTAAATTTTGATTACCCAAAAGGGAATAATGGGGTCACTCTGCAAAGGTATTCAGTGTGCAGAGTAAGTCAGGTAGAAAACATCTGTTTTCTCTGCCACAAAAGAAATGCTTAAATCACAAAGGACTCATGAGTGCATACTGACAGATAGTTAAAACATGGTACAGTGACCCTATTGTACTTCTCTTGTACTCTCAGGGGTTGGGGTGATACTTAAGACATGAAACATTTCTTGGTGCTGCTGAACATGCATTTCAACTTCACTGGTTCTGTACAGTCCATGAAAGCAAGGTCTTTATCATCTGGCAAGTCAGAGCATGGATTGGGCTAATTATTGTGATAGTGGTCTTTGCCTCCAAAAGTTGTTGGGGGAGGGGGCCCGCTGAGGCTTGCAGGTAGCATCCAGACCTAGGTAAAGGGAAGGGAATATTCATTTTTTAAAAATTAAATTAATTAATTTATTTTATTAAGATTTTGAGTTCTCAGTTTTTCCCCCGCCCCCCTCCCCAAGACAGCTTGCAATCTGATGTAGGCTATACATGTACAATCATATTAAACATTTCCACATTAGTCATGTTGTGAAAGAAGAATCAGAACAAAAGAGAAAAACCACAAGAAAGAAAAATCAAAAAAACAAAGAAAGTGAAAACAGTATGCTTCAATCTGCATTCAGACTCCATAGTTCTTTCTCTGGCTGTGGATAGCATTGGGAATATGCATTTATTAAGCACCTACCACATGCCAAACACTGTGCCATGGTTTACAAATATTACCTAGGGGCTCTTAATTTCATAAACACATTAGAGATAATCATTTCAAGATCACTTTTCCTGTGATTTCGGAAAAAGCAAACTCATAAGGTTACTGCCAAAGTTAGAAATATCATTTTAACATCACTATTTGGTCCCCTGTGCTCTTAGAAAGAGACACAAAGCAAAAGAGGCAGCCAGAGGCTTGATGACTTGATGTTTAGTCTCAGGTTTGTGTAGGCTAAAAGTAGGCATGAAGAGTCCAAGCTTCTGACAGATTAAAAAATGGGGTGGGGGTGGGGAGGAGGGAGGAGGGAGTTATTTTCTTCTTTTAAGCTGGAACTATTTTGTTGTTGTTCAGTTGTTTTTTAGTCCTACCCCATTTTCTTGGCAAAGATACTGGAGTGGTTTACCATTTCCTGAGGAAATGGAGGCAAACAGGATTAAGTGACTTGCCCAGGGTCACACAGCTGGGAAGTGTCTGAGGGCAGATCTGAACTCAGAAAGATGAGTTTTCCTGTGTCTAAACCTGGTACTCTATTCACAGCACTACCTCACTGCCCTTTTGAACTGTACTTTAAAATAAAAATCCACTTTGTTTCAATTTAAAAGCAGTTTATTAAGTAATTACTTTGTGTAATTCACTGTGCTAAGTTTTAGGGAAGATGCACACCCCTTAACTTCAAAACAGCATAAAACCAATAGAGGATATGTGAGCTGCACAAATAACTGTAATACTATGTAGGATGAAATCAGCATATAAAAGAAACATGAGCATAGTTCTTTGAGATAAAATATAAAATTATGTTTTCAGAATAGGTAAAGCTAAAGGAATTATTCTTATATTGTCTGTTTTTGTAGGACTTGGACCTAGATAATTTTAATTTCCATTTCCAAGGTTGGAAATTGTGGGAGAAGTATACAACCCAACCAGCATACATGTTATTAAATTACTCAACAGTGTTCCATATATATATAATTTCTTATTTTTTAATACTTGATTAACTTCTGTGTGTTTATTCAATAGTGAAAGTTTTACAACACTTTCTAAAGATTATGTTTTTGAAATCGGGAGATCACATTGTTCCCTTTTAATGTATTACAAAGGAAATATCTTGACAATGTGTATTATTTGAAGCAGTCATTTTCAAGAGTAACCTGTTGGCATTAATAGCTTTCTGAGCCTTATTTTATGACAATTAATTCTGCATTTTATAACTTGTAGCAAATTGTAGATTTAATCAGTATATATGATAGACATTTCCAATGTGTGAAATATTCGTTTTAAGTTGTTTAGAAATTTAGCAATGTTTCATCCCACCATTACTCCTACAGAAAAAATCTCAACAATGGCATTGCTGTCATAAAATCTTTTCCCTTAAATTTCAGTACAATTAGAGGGAGGAAATACTACCTACAGAACTTTTTTAAAAAGACTACTGTGTGTGTGTGTGTGTGTGGCTATGTGTGTGAGAGAGAGAGAGAGAGAAGTAGGGAGGGAGAGGGGGAGAGAGAGAGAGCTCTTGGGAGGCATGATAAATATTATTCTTATTTTTTAATTAGAGAATTTTTGTTTTTATTTGGCTTGGGACCATCTCAGTTTTTATTGTCTTACCAGTCACTCTAAATGGATACTTCCTTCTTTGTGAAAATATTTGTCTTAATGTCTTTGATTTCTGCTGCAAGACACAAATTCATATCTCAGCAAAATACCCTGGAAACAATAGTGAATTTTTCTTTAAGAGTCAAATAATATATTAGTAGAATTCATTGATGGTTGGACCTCTATGCAAGATGCCAGATCTTTCACATACTATCAGCACATTGTAGGAAAGAGATTCATTTGAGGAAATTCCTGGGAAATGTTTCTTTGCAGTTAAGGTTAGAGTCTTCCAAACAAAAAAGATGTTCCTCCAATTTGGATTTTTAATTAGTTGGTGAAAAGCAGTAATTTGAGACATTATATGCAGAGCGTACGTATATGTGAGAAAGAAAAGCATGCCCAATATAATGATTTTATAAAATTTTATGGTTGGCAGATGGCTGCTGTAAGACAGTTTTTTCAGCTTTGATTTTCAAAGCTAAAGGAATTTTAGGTAGATGCTTGCTTTCTCTCAGGAAGGACATCAAATTTGCTTTGTTTCATCTGCTACGTGAGCAGATACTTAACTGCACCAAAATAATATACAAGCTGACAAACATGAAATAATTAGTATTTGTTAATTTGCTTTCCAGACTCAGATTTATTCCAACATGTCCTAAATAATAAACAAATACAACAAACAAATCTTGAATTACTTACTCTCTTTTTTTTTTCCTTCAGACATCTCGGGGTGAATTTGATTCTAGCGAATTTGAAGTTCGAAGACGTTACCAAGATTTCCTTTGGTTAAAGGGGAAACTTGAAGAAGCACATCCCACCCTCATTATTCCTGTAAGCTTATTAATTTTTCAGACTGCAGTAACTTTTTTTCTTGCAAATATTTAATCACGAGAGATAGCATAGTATACTATAGCGGTATCAAGCTCAAATAGAAACTGGATCCCTCCGTGCTACATAGTGACTTGGAAAACCACAAATTAACTTTACCTATGTCATATCATATTTTTATATATATCATTAAACTCTTCCCAATTTTATTTTAATCTTGTTCCCTCGGGCCATGATTTTGATACCTTTGGTATAGTGGATAGAGGGATGGCCTTAGAGTTAAGATGGGCTTCAAGCCCTGCCTCTGATACGTACCTACTGGGTGAAGATGTGAAGTCATTTAAGCCACCTGTGATCCTAACAACTCTTTCGTGCTGTAAGTTTCAGACAAGTTGCCGATCTGCATTGATTGAAGAATTTTCCACAATGGGCATTACCTACACAGATGAATTAAGTTTCCAACCTCTTCTTCCACACACTAAAAAAAAAAAATTTTTTTAATATTTTTAAAACTTCAGGTCTTGAAAATTAGCCCAATTTTATTTTGAGAATGCTTTTGCCTTTTTTGAAAAAAACAAACAAACAAAAGCAATCAAGATTGATTTTTTTGCTAGAATTGGAAAGCTGATTTTTTTTAATATTATACCTATCCTGTGTTATTACTTTCTACTTCAAGATGTACCATTAAATCATTTTTAGAGATTTTTTTTTTCTACAGACAGCTGCATCATCAAACTTGTCTTATCATCCTGGATTCAAATCCTGGATCTTCTACTTCAGTTAGTCATTAACGTTTGTTAAATGCCTACTGTATATCAAGTCCCAAGGATAAAAATATGAATATACCCTGTGTGATTGTGAGGAGGTCAGTTAGGATCATAGAATCATACATTTAGAAATAGGAGAGAGCTTAGAAACCATCTGGTCCAACTTTTGTTTTATGGATGAGGGAACTGAGGCACAAGAGAAGTTAAGTAACTTCCTCAGGGTCATTTAGCTAATAAGTGTCAGACACCGTATTTGAACCCAGATGTTCTTGACTCAAAGTCCAGCACTCTGTCCATTTGACCACATCACCTCCTTTTTATTTTCTACAGAAGGAGGAGATTGCAACTAGACGGATTCTAAAGTCTTTTACAGTTGTACAAAGTTAAGCTTTAATAACTTAAAACTGCATTAAGACTTTTGGAACAACCTCTGCCAACTACTCTGGGTTAATTAATACCTTGTTATGCCTTATTTTCTTAGCCTTTGCCAGAAAAATTCATAATGAAAGGCATGGTGGAACGGTTTAATGATGACTTCATTGAAACTCGAAGAAAGGCACTTCATAAATTCTTAAATCGAATTGCTGATCACCCAACTTTAACTTTTAACGAAGACTTCAAAGTTTTTCTTACTGCACAAGCCTGGGTAAAAATCTTTGATTTTCAGTTCTATTATTCTTACACATTTCAGTGCTGTATTGATTTTGTTTTTACTATTTATACTAATTTTTATTTTCCGAGTGCATTGTTCTCTTTAAAATGAATGAAGATGAAGTTTTTTTTTTTAACATGAGTAAATTGCCCTTTAGATAGGAACCTGTATTAATTCTAAAAGTACCAAAAAACCTTAAGGTTTTTGTTTGTAACCATGCATCTCCTCTGACATACAGTCCCCTTTTTCTCTTTGAAGATGATTTTTAAAAATTCAAGTTGTTCTTTGCCTGTGTTGAATAAAAATCAGGGCTTTAAAAAAAAAACAACCTTATGTTTCTTGGCATCTTTGAGAATCAGAATGTGATGGTGTGCATCAGTTCTCCTGGACATCTTGTATCTTTTTGAAAGGCATCTGAAAGACAACCAAAGGATACTTCCTCCCCCAGGGGACTGACCACAATTTTCAATTCTTGGACATTCAGGTTTAATTAGATCATCTTGCCTCAGGCACTTCTAGCTGTGTGACTTTGGGCATGTCATTTACCCTCTGAAATCCCTAGTTTCTTCTTCTGTGAAATTGGGTTAATAATTGGATTATCTATCACAGGATTGATGTAAGATGTTCTCAAAGTTCTATAAAAGAATAAATTATTATCTTGTTTATAACAGTAGTGCAGCATTCTTTTCTTTGCTATATTTTTATTATTAATTTAGATCAACAGATGAGTTGTTTAAAGGATTATATACTTTATTTCTTGACAGTGAGGTTTTATATATTTTTATGCCTGTTACATGTTAGGCCAATCTATTAAAAACCAAATAGTCTTGATATCTGGATGGTCTTTGTTATGTTTTTGAGATGGTATTATAACCTAACTCCAGGTCTATAGTGCATCCTTAGAAATTGTCTAAGACAGTAACTGAAGAAGCTGGCCGCTAATCGTATGTGCTGCCTAAAACAATAAGCAATAATAATGCTAACAAAACATTGTTAAGCACTAAAAATGAGTGTGTTGTCTAGTCAAGGAGTACTTCTTTCATTAAAATCATAATATCAAAGATGTAAAATGAGAAGGCACTTTAGAAGTCATCCAGTCTAACCCTTATCATTTGAAAAAAAAAATGATTTCTTTTTATATTATGGACATTCTTCAACATATCCCTCCTGTAACCTCTTTTGGGTATCCATCCTTTATGGGAAACAGTTTAGTAGAAGTAACACATCAACTAATCAAAACCATTATATGCAAAATTACACACACATAATACCCCAACTGCCCCATCTTCCTTACAAAAGCTTGGTCGTTCTAATTCATAGCCTTATTTTTCATTTGTTTTGTTTTGTTTTCCATTTGCATTGCTGTGATTATTGTATATATTCTGTTTTCCTGGTTCTGCATACTTAACTTTGTATCTGTTCACATAACTCTTCCCATGCTTCTGTATATTCATTATTTCTTATGTCACAGTGATATTCCTGTTACACTCATAAACCACAACTTACTTAACCCATTTCCTAGTTGATGGATATCTACTTTGTTTCCAGTTCTTTGCTGCTGCAAAAAAGGCTGCTATAAATTAAAGGGTCTTTTCTTTCTTTCTTTGACTTCCTTAAGGAGTATATGCCTAGCATTCTTCTAAATTGCTTCATAGAATGATTGGACCAGTTCAGAGCTTCACAAACAGTGCATTAGCACTTCTGTCTTCCTACATCTCCTTAGCTTATCCAAAACTTACTCCAGCACTGTCTTCCCATTTTATTGTCTTTGCCAACTTTCTGCAGGTCAGTTAAAATCTCCATCATTTCCATTGCCTTCATCTTAATATTAGTAATTTGGAACGTCCTTTCGTATGGTTATCAATAGTTTGCAATTCTTTTTAGCAATCCTCTATTCAAATCCTTTGTTCTCTTTTCTATTAGGACAAAGCCTTTGAACTGTATTTATGTTAGTTCTCTGTTTCTCAGATTTCAGACCATTATCAAATTCTCCTTTTATATGAGAGGAAATGGTGTCACAGAGAGTTTAGGTGACTTGCCTAAGGTTACTTAGGTAGTTAGTAGATGGCTGAGCCTCAGTTCAAACCCTGGCCCTCTTCTTCCAGTATTTTCTTTAATAGCTTTTTATATATAATAATTTCTGTTTTGAAGATGAGGAAACAGTCTCGGAGAGATCACGTGACTTTCTCACGGTCACATTGGTATTAAGTACAAACCTAGGATATTTTCACCTTAAGTGTAACAAACTAGGCACTTTTTTTTTCCCCACACTGCTCCTAGTACTTGATGTTTCCATGGCTTCTTGTCTGAGGTCTCTGAGAAAATAATTTAGACACTACTAATGAGTTTTTTGGGCATCTAGGTAGCTCAGTGGATGGAACATTTGGCCCAGAGTTAGGAAGACCTGAGTTCAAATCTGGCCCCAGACACTTACTCGCTGTGTGACCCTGGGCAAGTAACTCAACCCTGTTGCCTCAGTTTCCTCATCTGTAAAATGAACTGAGAAGGAAGTAACCAACTACTCCATTATCTTTACCAAGAAAAACCGAAATGAGGTCACAAAGAGTTGAACACACCTGACATGACAAAGCAACAAAAAATGAGTTAATTCCTATCTTATCTTTCCAGGATAGCTAAGTAGTTGTTATCGTTCTCCCGTTAAAGATGAAGAACTCAGAGCCCAAATCAGATGTATAAGGCTACCAACACAGGGGTTCACAGGAAAACAGAGAGTCATAGTTTTGAAAGTGACATTAAAACATTGTAGGAGTTCGAAAGGAAAGCTGGTGGTAAAATATGGTGCTGATAAGACCAAGGTCACAAATTTAATCCTTGTCTCTGCCAGTTAGTGCTACTCCATTCCACAGGCAGAGATTATATTCCTGACTCTGGTGAGCCACCTAGCAGTGTTTGCTACATCGTGATTTTCCTGTAGTCCAAGGCCCTTAAACTATCTCTACTTGATCTATTTTCCAGGTCAGTTGTTTTGACTTCTCTATGCCTTCATTTCCTTCTGCTTCCTCCTACCTATCCTCAATCTTTTGATTTTTGTCTTCTATTGGCACGTTCTGTTTTTCAATTCTGGGGTAAAGTTTACCACTGTCTGTTCTAAACTGTTAATTTTCCATGGCCTCTTTTCTTGCTAGCTATTCCATTTTGTATCTCTTATTTCATTTTTTCCCCAGATACTCTGGTAGTCCTTGAGGTTAGGACATTCCTTTCTCTGCTTGTACTGGTTGTGGAGTTATTTTTTCATTATGTTTGGCATTTTCTTCTTTTGGTTTACTCGTATCTCTAGCCGCATTTTCCAGACTGGGGCCTTGTGTTTGATTTAAACTCCTTTCCTGTATTCTTCTATGATGTATGTAGATCTTGCTAAATCCTGAGTTTGGGGGCTAAAACTAGGCTCCGTCTTGTGCAGGGATTGTCTGGCCTTGGCCCCTGCTCTGGTTTGGGCCCAGGTTGCTGGAATGCTGGTCTGGCCTTGACTCTTGCCACAGATGGGGCTCTGGGACTGCCTGTGCTGAGTCCTGCTCTGGCTGTGGGATCAGACTGCTTCACATTTGGCCTTCCAGCCACCCTAGATTCTTGCTCTTCCATGCTTCTGCAGGATTCTGGGACTCTTTTTGTGTAGCCTTCATTAATTATTATTCTTTCCAGTGCATTTTTAGAACTTTACTATATTTGTGGGAGATCTAGATCCTCACGTACCACCATTTTCTTACAATCCTTTATCATGTAGTTCATTTGCTTTACATGTACTAGAGAAATAAAATAATGTTAAAGACATCAATAAGTTAGTAATAGAAAAAGGACAAGTGATTTGATGGTGGGTTCTAAAGTGATTTATACAGGTAGAGAATGGGGGCTGCTTAACTAGACATAACTTTATTTTAAAAAGATAGGGAGTCTTAATAGATTGCAAGCTCAGTATGAGTCAACAGTATGACATGGCAACCCCAAAAGTAGTGGCTTGTAAAAGAGATATTTGTTGTTGTTATTATTCAGTTGTTTCAGTTGTGTCCAACTCTTTAGTGACTCCATTTTGGGGTTTTCTTGTCGAAGATAATGGAGTGCTTTGCTATTTCCTTCTCCAGCTCATCTTACTGATGAGGAAACTGAGGCAGACAGGGCTGAATGACTTGCCCAGGGTCACATAGCTAGTAAGTGTCTGAGACTGGATTTGAACTCATGAAGATGTGTTCCTCATTCTAAGCCTAGTGCTCTATCCACTATACCATCTACCTGCCATAGTGTCCAGAATTGGGAGGAGGGTGAGAATCTTCTTTGTTCACTCTTTTTCATCAGAACACTCAGAGTATTTAATTCCAGCCACCATATTTTAGGAAAGAGTTCTGAGGACAGCAACCAGGATGGTTAGATTCATTGAGATCATAATCTCTAACGATTGTTTGATGTAACTGTGAATGTTTAGGCTGAAGAGGAGAAAACTTAGAAGGGATGAGATAGCTGTCTTTGAGATTTTGAAAGGCTGTCATTTGGGAGAAGGAGAAATTAGAATTATTCTTCTTGGTCCCAGAGGCCGTACTATGGGCAGTGGATAGAAGTTGCAGAGACATGAGTTTTTGGCTTAAAATGTAAATAATTACTTTTTTGAAGTTAAAGCTCCCCAGAAGTGAAATAGAAATGGGCTTCCTTGAACAGTGGTAGATTGAAGTAGGTTTTAGTCAAGGACTGTGCTGCCATTTGTTGTAAATGTTTTTAGAAGACGTTCCTATACAGTCATTGGCTAAATTAGATGGCTAGGGAAAGCTCCTGCACCTGAAAAATTTTTACTATGAAAAGGAAACTGCCATGGATTGAGTCAGCTATTTCTAATACACAGATAAGAGAAAGGAAAGGATAAGTAGAGTTTGGGGAATTGTGGAACAAAAAACAATAATTTACCTTTCCTTTCCTTTTTCTATTTATTTTTAAGGCAATGACTAAAATAAACTAAAATGTCTATCATCCATAGATGATCAGTCAGTATCCCTGTTTTCAGTACTCATTCTTATTTGTTGTAGCTATGTCTGTTCAATTCATATTTGACCCAAATGCTATGCTTCAAAAGACCTACGCTTGATTCGAGGCAAGTTTATCTATTTGTCTCATATTATTTCTCAGGCTTTCAAATTCATTCAACATTTATCCAACAATCGTTTATTAAGTGGCTTCTATGTCCCAGACACTGTTCAGGATGCAGAGTATAAAACCGAAAGGGTCCTGGCAAAGTATATATGTTTATACAATATTGTTGATGCCATGAATCTGAGTATCATTTGAGTATTTTTTCTGCTTGCCAAGTCCACAATTACCCACTTGAGTATGCTCACATAGAAGACGTTTCAGTATCTTGCTAACTTAGGGGAATGGATATCTGATCTGATTGATTTGGACGTTCTGTCCAATGATAGAGATCACCATCCCGTCTTGTCTGACTCTGGTCTGTGTTATCCCAAAAGTTTGTCACAGTGGGACATCCAATGCACTGGAGAAGCTGCTTGCCTTCTTTTGACATCACAAAGTTACCTCTGGAGTAATGTGAATGTTTACTTCTCATCTCTGTCTTGCCATGTGACCAGCCCATCTTTTCTTCTTTTCAAAGAATTCTTTGATGATGCCCTTTACTGCTGTCCTTTGGAATTTCTTTTTGGTTAGGTATTACAGTGAGAAGAATGTTGTGTTGCAACTAGAATTACTGTAGTGCTGGAAGACCAACCATATTTTATTAGCAATAACTCACTGAATACCCTAATGTTCAGTAAGAGGCTGTGTCGGTTCCTAAATTAAAATCAGAATGGACCTTAGGCATAGAAATGGTGCAAATCACCTTTCTTTAAAGGTCTGGCTGCTATTTGTGAATTTTTGAGGGGGTGTGTGTCTGACCCTGCACATTGTAAGTGACAGTTGGTGCCCTGCAGTGATGAAGCCTTCCATATCAAGAGCTCCCTATATCAATGAAATTACAGGTCTAGACACAGACACCTTATCCTTACATAAAACTCTTTCTTTTATTGTTCATTAGTTGTGCTCCCCCTCCCCTGTTGTTCCACTATTTGTGGATAATGTATTTTTGTGCAGTCATTTAAAATGGTATTTGAGCCGTAAAAGAAAGAAAGAAAGGAAGGAAGGAAAGAAGGAAGGGAGAAAAGAAACACCTGGAAAAGTATTTAAATATATCATTATAAACCCCCCCCAAATGTCGTACTATGTATTATAAACTGTGTACCATTATGTTTATGACCTCTATTTTTCTCCTCCATTTTGTGTGTGTGTGTGTGTGTGTGTGTGTGTGTGTGTGTGTTTGTGTGTGTTTTAATTCTTGGAATTTACACCACCAGCACTACTAATTACTACTACTGTTAAAATACTTCACTTTTATTATTTTGTGTTTTATTTTTAGGAACTCTCTTCTCATAAGAAACAAGGTCCTGGATTGCTTAGCAGGATGGGACAGACAGTCAGAGCTGTAGCATCCTCAGTGAGAGGAGTTAAAAACCGCCCAGAGGAGTTCACCGAAATGAATGATTATGTGGGAACATTTAGCCAGGAGATAAACTTAATAGACAAAATATCTCATAGAATTTACAAGGAAGAAAAGGGTATGTAAAATTACTGACCCTAATCCTTCTCTTCTTATAGTTAATCGTACATTTACTGTTTTGGGATATACATGTTAAAATTAGAATTTCAACTTAAAATTTCTTTTTTTAAAACAAAAGCTAATTTCTAATTGCAAAGCTAATTCCTGATCCGGAGGCATATTTCTCTATCTCTATGTGTACATCTATTTAACAGGGTCTGATTTACTAACAAGTGGTACTAGCTATCTTGCAAAGGAAGACTAAATGACAAAAAGGAATAAAGACCTGAGGTTTGGATTCAAATGATGGGTTATTAACATTAATGCCTGGTATCCCATGTATTGAAAAGTATCCCATTCCTTCATTTTCCCATAACATCTCTTATTTCCATCTCCTCATTACTCAAAGAGTTTATTGTACTTCTGGCCCTCATCACCTTTCTCTTGGACTGTTTCAATAACCTCCTAGTCCTTTTCCCTGCTTCAGATCTCTCCAGGTCTCCAGTTTATCCTCCACACAAGGGCCAAATTATATTCTTGAAACTTGGATTTGCCCATATCCTTCTCCTGGTCAAGAAACTCCAGGGACTCCCTATTGTCTATAAGATAAAATGGAAACCCCTTTGGCATTTAAATTCCTTCACAATTGGTCTCTTTGTAGACTGATTCATATTACTCTGTTTCACAAACTAGTCTTTTAGCCAAACTGACCTGCTTGTTAAATGTATATGAAGTTTCATTTCCCACCTACATTTTATCCTTTAGGCTATCCCTCATACCTGGAATAGTCTCTTTCCTTATCCCTACATTCTCTGTAAGGTTCAATCTAAAATTTCCTGAGACCCCCAATTATTAGTACTCCCCTTTTCGCCCTACCAGTCCCAAGTTTCTCCACACACACACACACACCCCCACACACGATATTTTGTATTTTGTTTATCTATGAATGTTGCCCTTCCCATCTACCCTTCTTACTCTGCCATGTAAATTTCTTGAGCACTGAGACTTGCATTTTTGCCTTTGTATTATTCCCTGAATCTTAAGAAGGCAGCATGTGAGAGGATTGACTTTGAGTCAAGGACCTAGGTTCAAGTCTTCAAACCCCAGTGCATTCTTGAGCAAGTCATTTATCCTCCTACACTTTCATTTCCTCATCCATAAAATGAGGCAGTTGAATTAGATGAGATCTCTTCTAATTCTAAATCTATGATATAATGAATTTTAGTTAGAGAAAATGAGATATAATGAACCTTGAATTTCCAGGTGAAAATCACCACATATTCTAGTAATTCTATGGACGGTGGCTTGAGTCAGGGGACCCAGCCACAGAAAGGCATGTGGGAGTTCTCAAATATGAATTTTATGCCCCTTCCTGCCATTTTCTTCCACCTTGTCTTCTCCCTATTTTTAAAATTTCTTCAACTTTGGCATTTAAGATTTGCTCCATTGGTATTTTTTTTTGGACAGCAAAAAAAGCATAATCTTCTGTTTTTTATAAGGTGAACTCAAGTGAATGTCTTCACTAATACCCATTCAGTTCAGCAAATATTTGTGGAGAATCTAAAACGTGTAAAGCATCATGGTTGGCAGTGTGGGAGAGGCAGTGATAAATAGTACTCAGTCCTTCTTCTCAAAGGGTGTATGTGTGGGAGGTGGAGGTTAAGTTGGAACCAAGACATGTAAATGTGTAGGAGGAAAAGATAATGGTACAGGGTGCTGCAAGTGGCTTACTGTAATTTGAAGTTACTAAAGCTTAAAACTCTACTACTAAAATTTTGGGGGATACCCTGCATTATGGCAGGGACATAAAGAACTCTCTCATTTTAGGTAAGAAAAAAGAATGTTTCAATGTCTTCTCATTCACTTTCACTCGCTCCTGGGAAGTAATTTGTGGATGTAGTACATAATCTAGAATTTTACCTTGTTGTACCTAGGCAAGAAAAGCTAATCTCTCACAGAGTTTAACTTTTCCCCTTTTATACCTGTTCGATGGAAACATAGTATCTTAGTCATTTGAGTGATAGGGGCAAAGAAAGAGAGCACTTTGATCAGTGAGAAAAAGCATAGTTTGTAAGTGGGTCTCACTTTTCTGTTCCTGAAACATTGTGTATAAATTTTTTTTTCAAATGAAGTCATTTTACATGCACTGGTAAGCTTGCTTTTTAAAGGAACATTTTCTAAATCTTTTGTAAAGTGAAGAATCCTTAAGATCTATGAATCATCAAATATTGATCAGTTTTGTATGTATGTATTGTCTTAAATAGCATTTTCTCAGAGAACACTGTTCTAGTAGTATACCTGTTACGAATATGCTTAATGTTCTGTTTAAGAGGCACAACACTAGTATTAGTAAAATATTGGAGAAGGAAATGGCAAATCGATCCAATATCTTTGCCAAGAAAACCCCAAATGGTGTCATAAAAAGTTGGGTATGATTGAAAAGACTGTGAAAAACAACAATGGTGGAAAGTGCCTTATCAAGAGAAGAAGTGGCTTGAAATGAGTTCCTGGGTGGGTAGGGTGCTGGTGAGATACAAATAAATCTAGGATTTGGGATTTGGGAAAGTCACAGGAGTTGGGTTCAAATCCTAGCTCTTGTTAGAATCTGTATATACAAGGCCTTAATCTCTCTGTTCCATAATTTGTTCATTTGTAAAATGAAGAAATTGGACTAGATGAATTTTCAGGTTCCTTATCTATGATCCTGTAATTTCAACCATCCCTATTACTCATTTTCTTCTCAATATTCTGGTATTTTAGATGCTACACCAATACTTTCTCAATCTTTCTTGGTTTGTACCTGTTTATGTCATTTGGCTATTTTCTTTTGTATTCCATTAATGTGTCTCGTGTAAATTTTGAATGCATAGATTTGGATGGCTTTATAGAAAGCTCCCTAGAATCTCTTGGCAATACTTAAAAATACTTACATACTATAAATGTGCCTCAGGTAGCTATTTTAGATAATCCCTTGAAAGCCGTACTGTTTATCAAGATATTTTCTAGGAAAACTGGATGTTGGGATAGAGCTTGTAAATTTGAATCCAAATGTATAGTGAGAACATTATCCGATTTGCAAGTTCATGTAAAATGTAACATATTAGAGTGTCACTGTCCAAAACTTAAGGACATTCTTTGTTTTTAGAGTCTGAAACTGGATTTCCTTAAAAATGATAAGATTATTATTCTTTTGTAGCTTTGGGAAATTGTTGTCCCAGATGGTCCATTCAGCCTGCATAGGTTATTTCATATTCAAATGAAAGAGATTTAATTTTTTTTTTCAGCTTAATGTATCCCATTTTAAATTATGAGCATCTTTAGAAATACAAGTTTCAGAATGCTTCTGAAATTGAAATTATAATGAACTTTTTTTTTTCTTTTTGGCATTTTATGGTAAAAAATAAACATAATTCCCATGTTACCTTATTTCATCCTCCCAGTTATGCCTCAGTCACTAGCTGTGTGAACTTGGTAAAGTCACTTAACCTCTTCTGTCTGCCTTAGTTCCTCATCTGTAAATAGGATAATAAAGCACCTCATGTAGTTGTTTGTGAAGCTCAAATGAAAAGTAAATCACTTTGCAAATGTTAAAACCCTATGTAAGTACTGGCTGTTATTATTAGTATTGTTTTTCTTTTTTATTGCTACTGTTCAGTGAGATCAAATGAACTTGCCAATCTTTGACTTTTAGCTCTTTTCATTGTAGATCATTAAGTGAGGTGGTTGTGGTGCTTATATTTGTTGTGCCAGGTTGTCTCCTGTGGAACCTTATTAGAACTGTCACTGATTTTTTTCCTTTCTTTTTTTTTTTGTTTTTTTGTTTTTTTTTTTTAAATTGAAGAAAAGCATGCATTTTTTTATGAAGGATTAACTTTTTTTGCCCTAAAGTTCTTATTTAAAAATAAAAAAGAAATCAGTCCAAAAAACACTTACTATGTACTTATGGATATGTGTTGTATGTGTTCACATAAAATACATATATGATACACATATTATGTGTGTAATGCATTGTGTATATGTATACACACACATACACACATGGGAGCTGATGAAATTACTAAGGATAGAGAAGGTAGAGACAAAGAGGGCCTAGGACAAAACCTAGGGGAACAGCTAGTGGTTGGGAGTGTGATATACGATGAGGCAGCTAAGGAAATGGAGAAAGAATTGTCAGACAGGTAAGATGAGGACCAAGAGAGAAGAGTATCATGAAAATCCATTGAGGAGAAAGCATCCAGGAAGATAGGTTCGTCAACAGTGTCTAGCAGAGCCTGGGCACCTAGGCTCACGATCTTGTTATCATCACTTGCACTCACCCTACATATTCATGCTGCCGTTAAGTCTTGTCATTTCTATCTTCAAGACGTCTCTCATGTTAGTCCTTTTCTTTATATTCGTCTAGCTACCACATTGGTGCAAACTCTTCATCATCTTCTCCCCTCAACACCAACCTTCCCCTATTACTGTTGAGGATACCATCATTCTCCTAATCGCCCAGTGTATAGCCTTGGTATTATCCTAGATTGAGTCTTGTCTTAGATTCTTTTCATATATCCACCTTTACAGCATCTAGCCAGTACTCAGGAATAGGCTTTCATTCTCTCATGCCTGGACTATTGCAATAACCTTCTGGTTATTCTCCTTGCTTCAAGTTTCTCCTGATTCCAGTCTATCCTCCACTTAGCTAGAAGTGATCTCTGTAAAGTACAGGTCTGTGTCACCCTCCTACCCATTGAATTCTGATGGCTCCCTGTTACATTCAATATCAAATATAAAATCTTCTGTTTGGCTTTTAAAGCACTTCACAAATTGGTCCTGTCCTACCTTTCTGAGTACATTTTACTCCTCTCTGTGCAATCTGTGATCTAGCAACATTGGCTTCCTTGCTTCTTCTCACACATGACAGTTCATCTTCTGAGCTTAGACCTTTTTCTTGGCTGTCCTTCATGCCTGAAATACTTTCCCTCTTCACCTTCACCTCCTTGTTTCCTTCATTTCTTGCAAGACTAGTGCCTTATA